CTCGGGTAAATACACAGAGTGGAATGGCTGGGACATAGGATAGGCATGCTTAACTTTTTAGGAAACTGCCAGAAACTGGCAGTTCTAGGAAACTGTTCGCCATCAGCAGTGAAGGAGAGTTCGGTACCTCGTAACTGTGCCAGCAACTGGTATTCCCTCCATAATCATAGTCATTCCGATGGGTGTGTAGTGGTGTTTCACTGTGGTTTTAATTGGCATTCTCCAAATGACTATTATGCTGAATGTCTTATCATGTGTTCATTTACCATTCTTATTTTTTTAGCTGTTCAAATATTTTGCCTTTTTTTTTTTTTTACATTTTGGGAGTTCTTCATAGATTCTAGGTAACAAGTCCTTTTCTTCCAGTTTGTGGTTCATCTTCATTCTCTTAAACACTATCTTTGAGAAGTCCTTAATTTTAAAATCCAACTCCTCCATCTTCAGATTTTACATTTTGGTGGGAGAGTTTCTTTCTCATCATAACTGTACTCTTTAATCCCCATCACCTGTTTTACCCATCCCCCCACCCACCTCTTCTCTGAACCATCAGTTTGTTCTCTACAGTTAGAGTCTGTTTCTTGGTCCCTTTTTTTCTTCCCTTTGCTTGTTTCTTAAATTCCACATATGAGTGAAATCATATGGTATTTACCATTCTCTGACTTATTTTACTTAGCATTATACTCTTAGCTCTATCCATGTTGTTGCAAATGGCAAGATTTCATTCTATTTTTGTGGCTGAATAATGTGTGTGTGTGTGTGTGTGTGTGTGTGCGTGCGCACACACACACACACATCTTCTTTATTCATTCATCTATCGACGGACACTTGCTTCCAAAGTCTGGCTATTATAAATAATGCTGCAATAAACATAGGGGTGCATGTATCCCTTTGAATTCATTTTTGTATTTTGGGGGGGTAAATACCCAGTAGTGCAATTACTGGATCATAGGGCAGTTCTACTTTTAATTTTTTGAGGAACTTCCAGACCGTCTTCCACAGCGGCTGCACCATTCCCATTCCCACCAACAGTGCACAAGGGCTCCTTTTTCTCCACATCCTTGTGGACACTTGTTGTTTGTGTTGTTGATTTTAGTCATTCTGACAGGTATGAACTACTCATTGTAGTTTTCATTCTCACTTCCCTGATAATGAGTGATGTTGAGCATTTTTTTCATGTGTGTGCTGGCCATCTCTAAGTCTTTTTTGGAGACATGTCTGTTCATGTCTTCTGCCCATTTTTTAACTGGGTTATTTGGTCTTTGGGTGTTGAGTCGTATCAGTTCTTTATATGTTTTGGATGCTAACCCTTTATCAGATGTCATTTGCAAATATCTTCTCCCATTCATTAGGTTGCCTTTTAGTCTTGTTCCCTTCACTGTGCAGAAAATTTTTACAGATCTCTATTATCCACTTTGAATTTTAATATGGTGGGAGTATAGATCCAGGTTTAGTTGTTTTGTTTTTTGCATATGGATATCAAATTGTTCCAGCACATGTTACACTGCCCTTTCTTCTCTGAATTCTCTTTACATCTTTCTCAAAACCAATTGGCCACATATGTAAGTATTGGTCTACTCCATTCCTCTAGTGACCACCTCACTTGTCTGTTTTTTTAACTAACTTTTTTTAAAGATTCATTTATTTGAGAGAGCGAGAATGAGAGAGAGAGAGTACACTGGGGGGGGGGGGTCAGAGGGAGAAGCAGACTCCCTGCTGAGCAGGGAGCCCGATGTGGGACTCGATCCTGGGACTCCAGGATCATGACCTGAGCCGAAGGCAGTCGCTTAACCAAGCCACCCAGGCGCCCTTTAACTAACTTTTAAAATTTATTGACCAACTCATGTCTGGGTTTGTCAGGGAGCTTTTACCGTTATTCCAGCGGTTAAGAACATTGGTGCAACAGGACAGGCAGGAGAAAGGACAAGGCAGGAAAGAGAGATGGGAAGGAAAAAATAAGGCAAAAGTATCACAACAGGTAAAAGGAAAAGGATTAGAAGAGACACTTCTAAAAAATGGCATTTTCCCAAATCTGTCATCACCAAAGACCATCCCTCACCTAACTTGACCCTATCCTATTCTGAAAGCTTATGTCTATAAAATAAACAGCATTTATTAGGTAATAATTCATTAGTGTTCTCATATATTATTCATCAGAGACAAACGCCACTGCCAGTGTTTGATGAGATAACCAGGGTTGCTATAAGTCCTGCCAAAAATAAACTGACGTTTTAGATATCCCGTGCAGTCTTGTGGTGGGCAACATTACATCTCCATTAAGCTTTCTGAAATATTCACAATAGCCACAACAGGACTTCCACCATTTTGCTCCCTGCCCAAACCACCCTCTTTTTAGAGCCATGGGGGTCTGGAGCCTCAGACAAACTCTAGCCTAGGGGCTTCACCTTAGCTTTACTTTCTCATCAACCACATGCTATGTCAACAGAGCTTCAGAAAAAAATGTGTGATTTGTTAACGTGATGAAAACAAGTATAAGGCACTGATTGCCAACTCATGGTTTTGTAATAATTTGGAGTATTGCTAATTATAAGCTCAAGAGATAGCTCCTATACCATGAAAAATCTTAAGTCTCTAAAAGAAACATGTAACCAGCATTTCCCCACCCCCACCCCCCCAAGGCTGTGTGGAATACAAATAAACAGTGCTCAGGTTTAGCAACTCAAAAATGTCTGAGAGGGGCACCTGGGTGGCTCAGTGGGTTAAGCATCTGCGTTCGGCTTGAGTCATGATCTCAGAGTCCTGAGATCAAGCCCATCAGGCTTCCTGCCCAGCGGGGAGCCTGCTTCTCCTTCTCTCTCTGCCTGCCGCTCCCCCTGCTTGTGCTGTCAAATAAATAAAATCTTAAAAAAAAAAAAAAGTCTGAGATACCAGAGCTTCAGACAAAATAGTGAGAAACCAAAAATGAAACACACCAAGAGAAACTGTTTGAAAAGTTAGTTAAAAAGGAAAACCCTGCCCAAATTGCAGAAACCAATGCTATCAAATCTGACAGCTAGACATGTTTGAATCAAAACAACTCAAAGTCAGATCCCAAAGTGAATAAAATGACGGATTCTTAGTGTAGACTGTTAAAATATCACCTTATACCCTCAAGCAATGCTCGAATAAAAGGGAACAAATGTCAACAAATCAATGCATGAAAAATGAGGCAAAAGACACAATTACTGATTTCGAATATTATCGTTCCCTTTTATAAAAGTGTTCCTATTTGGGTTTTCTTATTCTAGAAACAGGGGATGCTTTCAAATGTACTTATCACCCTTATACAAGGACTCAGGGAAGCTCCTCAGAATTACTGCCATTTTAGCACCTGTGCAGCTAAAGTGAGGGCTACCAAACCTTTTACATCTAGTGCCTTGTGAAAACAAACCCAAAGTTTGTTTTCTCTCACCTGAAAACAAAGCACCCACCCACTGATCTTATTTGGAGGACTAGGAGAAGAAACCTAGACTTAATACTCTCAGCCATTAACTACGTGAATTTATTATACAGATTTAAGTTCTCTAGGCCTCCGTTTCTCTCTAAAATAAGTACAGTAGTAATGCAATTTAACACACATATACTACTGTGAATACAACTGAAAACATAGCCCTTGCTCTAAATTCTGGCATCTCTAAATTCTAGACTTTTATGGCTATGAGTTTTTACTTTTAGATTTATGAGAAATATAACTAGATAGTTCTAAACTTGATTTTAAGATATGATCTAAATTTTCAATCATGTGTATCAGAACCACTTGGCACAGTATCCCTCACCAGGAAATGATGTAACGGCAGCCGATTCCATTTGCTGACCACCAACAAATGTAAACAGTGTCATTCTGCTGAACTCCATCAAACAAAGTACTTTGTTCATTTTTATTTTGCCATCCCTGAGGCATAGCAATACTAGATGGAGCTTGTACGAAGTCATTACCACAGTGCTAAAGGCCACCATTAGAGGAAAAAATATTCCCTAAAAAAATTATTTAAAATAGTAACGATCTTCAAAGGTATTTCATATTCATTAAATAAGGTTTATCCCAACTATGGCCAGCTAACAAAACACGAAAAGAACACAAGCTCAAGGCAAGCTTTTTTTCTTCCAAAACTTACCTCTTCACTCAAGAAACAGCCTGCATAATCTAATTGCTGCTAAATTTAAGTGAAAAGAATATAAGCCAGATTTAAAGAAATGGAAACCACTATAAACAAACAAGACTCTTCTCCCATTAAACTTAATTCCTATCAATTACTGCTTCACTTCTTCTTTCTGCTCTGCCATGGTAATAACTGTATTTTTCTTATAATTGCAAAGGAATTTTGTTGAATACATTACACTAGCAGAAACCACACTATCCCGAGTCCTTAGGCCTTTAAATAAAAGTTACGCCTGAGATATCTGTAGTTAATAAGCAGGAAGATAGGCCTTTGAATCCACTGGCAGACTGGAGACATGTCGCTCAGCCCCATTTCCACCTCTTATCCCGTGTTCCAATGTTTTTGTGGATTCAATCCACTAGCTGAGAGTGACAGTTGAAATGAAAGGGCCAACGAGATTTAAAAGGTAAAACATACCTGACCACAGTGCAGAAAGTCACAAGAGGTGTAATCACAACTCAGTTTTCATTATCTTACAATGAAGAAGCATGTGATCAAGGCTTCTTGTTATAAAAATTGTTATAGGCCTGGGAACCCAAGAAAAATCTGTGGAGTAGGACTGTATGCCCATTCAACAGAATTCCCTCTAACCAGAACAATTAATTTTGGACTATCCACATGGAAGCAACTCTGTTATATAGAAGGCTTATTTTATTGCAAAGTGAGGCTGCATGCGACCCACCACCATCGAACAGCATAAAAAGTCCACGGTGCTCGTGATTGTGAACGCACCGTGGTCAAACCCCAGAAAGGCTTCCCTACTATCTTTTCTGATCAAACAGGCCCAAGCTCCAAAACCCTGAAGCCCCAAACAAAAAATAAAGTGACACACCGAAGAGAGGGTACAATGTTAGCTTCTGAGATTTTATTATTTTTAATACATACATTTCACAAACAGAAACCTTCAAACACCACACACAATTCCATAACCAAATGTTTTCGTTTTATCAACATTCTTTTAACTATTTACACCATCTTCCCTCAACAAAAGTGCAATCCAAGACATCATGACAAGAAATCTTTAGGACAAGAATATATTTTTGAGCTGGCTTTAACAATGCCCGTCCGTTATGTTTTCTTTCAATCACCTGGAAAAATAACAAAGTCAACAGGACATAGAGATGAGCTGGGTTAGGTGGCAGCCTATTAAAGGAACCAAAACACTGAACAGGAGCGCTTTCTCCTCAAGTCCTCCCCAAACGTCCAAAATTGCTCAAGAGCTGCAACCAGGAGACCAAAGAGGAGAAGCCATGTGGAGGTCCTAACCCAGGGACAGGAGAACCGACTGTACAGGAGGCATTGGTCTTACAGGACAAAACAGAAAACTTCAGCAAATTAGTTTTCATGGTCTACTAAGTTATGCATCAGCCTGTTAGTTTTAGTATTTAAACACCTAATAATATTCTTTCCTGATGAGTTCATTCCCCCCCCAAAAGATATGAAAATACTTTTTACTCTGAAAATAAACTTCTTTTGCAAAACCTGGAAATTAAAGACCAGGGAGAGCTCTGTCTTACTCAGAATGGAATAATTCACCCCACTGCCCAATTTCATGGCCAATGTCTATCTTTTAATCAAGCAGTTGATAAACTCGGTATTATCACTTGCTTCAGATGCAGCCAGAAGTGGAGAACTGAGCCAGCCTGAAGAGGAAACGATAAAGCCATCAGAAATGGTTTCTCACTGAACTGAAGCAGGTAAAATTTTATTTGTTCCAGGTACAGAACTCTTAAAAATAAATGATAAAAAAAAAAAAGTTAGAACAGATGAAAAATCACTTTGAAATTGTTAGTCACTTATGAGTGGTTCATTTTATTGAACACTATTTATCAGAAAATGGATCTCTTGGGTGACTAATATCCTTTAATAACCAAACCACAACAAAACAGTCATCTTTTTTGACATACTCCAATTTCTACCAAGGTATTCAGAGCAAAGTACTTTGAGAAAGTCTGGTGAAAATACTAAGGTCAGCAGATTTCCAAAATAAGATTTATTACCCACACTGTGGCATACTCATTATATTTTATTCTCAAATAAGCCAGATTTTCTACTTTAGATGAGACTGTGATGCCTTACAGGTAAACGATACTCTCACAGATACCTATGCCTCTCCTTTTTCAGAACTGCAGCATCCACAGAATCCTAACTTTGTGGTCCAAATAAAGGCCAAAAGCAAATTTTACCCAATTACAGGGAAAACTACTCCTACTTATTTTTCAGAGAGCAGAAACCAATAGAAGGAGAAAATACTGAATGCATCAGAGACCATATTCACAGCATTTTTAGACCAAGGGGCTTGTGAATGTGATCTATACGTAAACTTTAAGATCCAGAACAGTAATAAGCAGGTTTCTCTATGAAATTTTAGGTGCATTAAAAAACAGCATTACAAATATTTTACTACCTGCTTGAAATTCAGAACTAAAATTCAAATGTTACTCTCAAGACTCAAGAAACTTACTGATTTTTACACTTGGGTACATGAGAGAATCAGTGGGGAACCAGTTAATTCACAATTACAGCTTTGTGTATTAAAGACAAATTTGCAAGGGCCATGTCCTATAGACCTTTTTCAGTTGCATCAAATACTGTCAGACCAATATCGATTTGTTGCTTCGATTTGAGCACTTCCCCCCACTGTGAAATATTTTTCAGACCATCAAACACCAAACTAGATGCAGTGAACCGAATTATAATCATCCAAACTGAAAGATGAGAATATTAGTTGATATACTGGTTTTCAATGCTCTGTTGTTTCAAAGTATCAAATATTTCACACAGTAGAACTGAAACTTGCTTGCAGTAATAGCTAAACACTTCTGAGAGGAAAAACAGCTGTTTTTCTGAGGGAAAAAAATGGTATAAACCAAATGAGTAATACAAACTGTTCATATAACCCCAAATTTGGCTACTCATAAAACAGATTATATTTTCAGTATTCTTTTAGCATATATGTACATAATACTTGAAATTACCAAATCCATTTTTGAGAAATCATACTCTAATTCCAATTCTATGATGGTATGGGGAAAGCCCAATGCTCTGACTAATCAAGTTATACAAATTATCATCTTTTTTCACTAATGGTGAAGTATCATGGAGAGCTTCAGAATGATGTATTTTCAAACATACTGTTATACATTACAATCCACGGTTTTGAGAAATGAAACACACTTTAAGAAGAAGTATTAAATTATTGTTCTCTTCCTCATATCCTCACAAAGCAATTTTTTTCCTTTCCTTCTTAGGGTCAAACCTAGGATCTGGGAAACTCAACATTAAATGGGTCAAATGTGGCGATAACAATTTTGTAGAAGATAAAGCATGGTGTTGATGGTTCTGAATTTCACCAGTTCGGGTCTATGGCTGTGAGATTTACCTGTGAGAAGGATCTGACATCAAATGGCACTTGGACAGTGCAACCTACATAAATCAGTACCAACCAAATCATGTCATTCATGGATTCTCCTTAAGAGCTCATCTGACCAACTTCAAAGACACAATTCCAACGATAGGGTTCTGCCTGATCTTGCCCCCCTTGAGTCCATGTGCATCACTTCCAAATTCATTTAGTATATTCTGTTACAGGTCAGTTTACCTAAAAATATTTTTAGGTAAAAATTTTAGGTAAAAAAATTAAAAAACACCACAAGTTTTCATAGGTCTTATAATTTGGATCTAATTTTCAATAGGAAAACTGCCTGCTAAATCACAGAGGTGACAGAAACAGCATTCGTGTCCACTTTCAAATAATCTGCAGGTCAATGTGTACTGCACAACACTGAACCAAGACGGACTAATATACTCCCAGCCCTCCAGGCACAGATTGACATTCACGTGCCCCATGTTGTTCCCAAAGCCTGAGCAGATCTAAAAGTGGGTTTTCAGACACGTAACATTTTAATAAGAGGTTCCTTCCAACTCCCACCATGCTTTTAGTTGATAACTATATCATCCCTTTACTAAATTCACCCTATCCTCCCCACCACCTTAAAAGCTGCATGAGAGACTCTTAGTGATAGTGAACCACTACCCCAGACTCACAGGATTGTCCATTTGAGCTCTGGTCAGGACCACAGACTAACACTCAGGAGTCAAGTGAGGGCAAGGGGCCAAAACCATTTTAGTGGCACACATACACAAAGGAACTCTCCTTTAAATTAGAAAAGAAAGTCATGTCACAGAATGTTTCCCTATAAAAGATAATGTAATAAAGAAATAAAGTCAATAAAATAGCTATTACTAAAGCAAAGCTTTCATCAATAAGCTTCAAGAACTTTGAAGGAGGAAAATGGCTTCACGAAATGGTAGTCCAGGTTCCCACAGTGCGGACACTGCTGGACATTGCTGTACTCAGAGAAGTACTGCATCCCGATCCGCACGTCTATCACAGGCTTCCCACAGTGCTTACAGTTCAGGCGGGCCTGTGGGGGAAACACAGAGGCGTCAGCCACCATGCCCTCCCTTCCACCTCACCACACTGTCAAAGGCACCCAAATCAAAATGCAACACTGTTATGTCTGAGAAACTGATCAAGAGCTTAGCCAAGCATCCCTCTTATTACCAAAAGCAGGGTAGGCAGAGCAGAAGATACACATTCACATATTCATTATCTGTCCGACAGTGTGACTCCTCATTTCTCTGTGGATCTGCAGCACCGTTAGCACTTTGACCTACTGGTAGGAAGAAAATTCAAACTCGCACTGCCTGAACTTCTCCTGAACTTCTCCATGGAAGCTCCCCTAACAATAGGACACTCCTTCCCCCTGGATTGTTAGGAGCAGGTGCAGCTGACTCCCCTCATTCAAAGCCTCATGAAACTTCATGGACTGTGCTGAGTTTATTTTAAAAAATTCATATACATTTCTCATTCTGCTTCTTACTATACTTGTTTCCTTTGATGTAAAAATAAAGTTTCCCGAAAACACTCCAGCAAAATTAACAATCCAGGAAGAAGTGCTCTGTGTTACCACCGCACACTAGTTCTTCATTCATGCCTGGGTCTCTAACGGCACAAGACTGGAATCTTTTAGCAAAAGGTCCAAGACCTTAGAGGAATAACCAGAAATGATAAGTACAACAGTTTCCCAATTTAGATTCATTCTAAAAATGTAACAAAAAGTATAATCTCATTTTGTCCTCAATACACTCATGGGAGTTATGTGTAGTATGTGAATTTTAGATGAACAGGCACATAGTGATAGCAACATGCCCAAGACCACATAGGAAGCAGAAAGGCTGAGGACTGGACCAAAGTAGCTTATTCCAGAGCCCACATTCTTAGCTATCACACGGACGACCTTTTTGTAGCTAAGATAAATTCCCTTTTCACTAACCGCTCTGAACAACAAAAGTGAAATTCTGGGCAAACCTCTCTCTTTAATCATTCTCTGTACTCTGTTATTCCTTTCAAATAATTAACCATTAAACTTTTTTTTGGCTCAAAGTCTTAGTAGAAGACCCTTAGTAGCGTCTAACACTTGCACCTTCCCAGTGAATACACAGTTGCCCTTGAACAACATGGGTTGAACTACGTGGGTCCACTTAGAAGCAGCTTTTTTTAAATAAATACAGTACAGGACTAAATTCTTTTCCTTATTATTTTCTTTATAATGGTTTCTTTCCTTTCCTTTATTGTAAGAATACAGTATACAATACATATACAAAATATGTGTTAATCAACTATTCATGTTATCGGTAAGGCTTCCAGTCAATAGTAGGCTATTAGTAGTTAAGTGTTTGGGGAGTTAAAAGTCACAGGGGGTTTTCAACTGCACAGGGGGTCAGTGCCCCTAACCCCCATGTTGTTTAAGAGTGAACTGCAGTTAAATGACATTTTTTAAAAGCCAAAGAGTCATCAAACATGTTTTCCATTTTAGTTGGAGGCCAGAAAATAAAGGTCTGGGCTTACATTGTTTTAAAAGAAATATATCATGAGTACCAACAGGTTGGCCATGGCAGGATGCCATTCGGCTTTCTTCCCTAAAGATAAGGAACTAATCCCACTGCCTTTCAGTGGTATAGGAGAAAGAACAGCAGACAGGGAGTCAAGGGTTTTAGCACATGTGGCACGCTTGTAAAGACCTCCACTGTGTGTGGAAAACGAGGAAGCTGACCTAGCTCCCCGGGTCCTTCCTAGCACCAACGAATGGCCCCAAATTCTTTTACTTCCTCATTTCTTTAAAAGAGAACCCTCTCTTGTGTGTGTCAAGAGAGAGGAGCCACTTCCTTCTGTTTCTCTCGGCATTGTGGCACAGTTGAGTACTACTAAATGCTGCAGTGCGTCGCTCAAAGACTATGAGATCTCTGGTGACAAACGTAACAAAATACAAAATAAATAAATAAATAAAAGACTATGACATCTCATTTCCAAAGCTAATGGAATTTTAAAATGGAAATGTGGTCAATATATTAGAATAGCGTACAAGTAGTCAGCCCCATCTGGAATCACATGACCGGTCATGGGTGGCCATTTAGGTCTCCCATGCCCATACTTCTCTTTTGAGGACACTAGTACAAAGTCTGGCTGAAATCCCTGCTCTGCCAACCTTTTCATTCAACTGGCACAGCTTCTCACAGGATATTCTTTTTTAAAAAATCAAACCATAGTGCTAAAGATACAAAGCTATAAAGTAACTAATAAAGTGCTTATCAGTTACTTATATTAAAAGCCAGGCTTGGCAACTGAAGAGCAAAGTAAAATTCTCTCCTACCCGTGAATATGAAGGAATTGTAAAACAAGGCTTTCTTTTCCCCAAGCACTTGGAAATGAACCAAGATACTTCCAAGGATTTTGTTTTGTCTCTTGTGTTTCCACGGACTTATCTAACGTGTTTTCCCAGACTACTCCTTCCTTTTTTTCTGGTGACAGCTCAATTTCGGAAAATGCTTCCTCTGAGCAGTACTTTAAAGATTAAAAATCTTTTCTAAGGCAGCACAGGAAGGCAGCTCCTGCGTAACTGCGCTACCCCACAGAAAGGAAGAAAATCCTGTCTATTCCAGAAAGTAAAACTTTCTTCTTCCTTTTCAATAATGACTTTTTCTTATTAGAACCTAAATATACGTTAATCACACAAAACATAAGAAAATGCAAGCAAAAGGAACCACTTCACATCCCAGCATGCAGACACAGCCTCTGGCTTATAGGTTAGCAGGTCCCTTTCCAAAGTCACTTTTTACAAACAGAAGCACACTGTTAACACCATTTTATAAACTACCTTTTTTACTTAATACACTAAAAATATTTCCCATGGATTATACATTATTCCACAATACCCCCCTTTTAATGGCTGCAGAGTATTCGGGCAATACCTTCGTCACGCTGTGGTAAATCAGCCATCGTTCCTGGCCGCGGGGCCGGGCGCGGGGGGAGGTAAGACCACTCGCTATCTCCCTCGCCCTCTCCCGAACTCACAACAGTGCTGCCCCATGTCCTCAGCGTTCGCCAGGGGGCAGCAGCCCGAGATCATGCACTGCTCGCCGTCAATACCAACCTGACAGCACGGAGAGGCAGCCAGGATGTCGTAGGTGTACATGGTGCCCAGCTGGTGCCAGCTGCCGTCCCACCGGGACTTACACTTGATGCAGATGATCTTGTGAACCCCTTCCAGGCAGTCCACGCACACGGCGTACAGGTGCATGAGTCTCCCTGTGCACAGAAGACACAATGCTGAGAACGGTCGTCCTCGGGGCTAAAAAACTGGCTGATCTATCGATTATAAGCAAACATGTTACCATTCAGATAAAAGAAGAAGCAAAACGGGTCATATTCATCCCATATCCCCAAGCTGTCCTTTTAGAATAATGATGAATTACGAACTACTGTCAATGGGACATACACTTAAAAGCTGTATCTTATTAAATATTGCTTCAATTCACTTTCCTAAAAAAGTACTGCCAGGTTTACAACATGGACCTCCAAATTCAAATGACCAAGCCACAAATGCTACCAACCGCCAGTGGTCACGCAGGACTCTCTGCTCAGAAGTCTGTGTGTGGCGCAGGGCCTGAACCAACAATGCTGGTCTGCAGCCTCGGGTTCGTATCCATCGACAACTGCCATCATAAGAAAGTCAAGTCTGTCTTGGTACTCGTGGCCCAGAATTATACCACAGCCACAATGACCGTGTTAAACTGTCCCTGTCTCCAAAACTGCTCAGCCACCACCACTATTTAATTTAGGAACCAGGATCATATATATCTTACTTGTAAGTGGTTATTTAAAAGGAGTTCAATGTCTTATTATTTACTGGGCTCTTAAGAGACACAACCCCATTCCTCCATCATTCTTAACATCTAATGCTTACAAAGGAAAAGAGGTCACCCTTGTTTACATGGAAGGGTTAGGATTCAAATCATTAGGAAAGACTGGGCATGTCCAGGATCCACCTACACGGTGTACAACAGCAACACCACTGCTCTCTACGTAGGCGTCAGGGAGCTCCACCTGGCTGCAAACTACGCTCAGGAGAACACATACTCCTTCAGAATGCGCTGGCTCCTTGCCAGCAGCCCAATCATGGCTCTTCACCTTTCACTGGTTAGGACAGGCTGCTCCTTACGCTCTGGAAAGAGGTAAACAGTACTTACAGGGTAACGTTTCATTACATTTGCTTACAAGGCTCTCTCGTCCTCAAGGGTAGGAACCATGTTCTTTCTCTCTCTCTCTCTCTCTC